CACAGTACATCACGGTATCATCCGCATAAAAATGTATAGGTTCATTCACATTTTCACCTAAACTGTTGATATATATGGAGAATAAAAGTGGACCTAAAATAGAACCTTGAGGAAAACCATTAGCAATGTTTAACCACTCAGAAGACAGCCCATCAAAGTGAACACATTGGGACCTTTCAGAGAGGTAGTTCACAAACCACCCCACTGCATGGCTGGATATGCCAATACTGAGTAGCCTCTGCTTTAAGATGCGATGATCGACGGTATCAAACGCTTTGGAAAGGTCAATAAATAGAGCTGCACAACTCTGATTATTATCTAAGATACTCGTAATGTCATTCACCACTTTCATTGTGGCAGTGATGGTGCTATGTTGCTTTTTGAAGCCCGACTGATGTTTAGACAGGATATCATTTTTACATAAAAACTCCTTTACTTGTTCACTCACCAGGCATTCGAGCACCTTCGCCAGAACTGATAATTTAGAGATTGGCCTATAGTTATTTAAAATAGTTGCCTCCCCTCCTTTTAGTAAAGGCGGGACATAAGCTGACTCCCATACTTTTGGAATTGCATCTGTGCTGATGGAGAGGTTAAAAAGAGTAGTGAGAGGAGGAGCAATAAAATCTGCAGCTATCTTTAAAAAGAAAGGTTCTACGTTGTCCGGGCCAGCCGGTTTCTTAGGATCTAACTTAGATAATGATTCATGAACAACATTAACAGTAAAAGGAGTAAAACTGAAAGGGTTTTCCAGACCACATTGTTCAGAGTCACGGATTGGGGTGTTCACAGCAGCAGAGTTAGTGACAGAATCAAACAGAGAGCCACAGGACACAAAATGCTCACTAAAGCAATTTAGCATAGTGGCCCTGATGCTGTGGTAAGGCAAGGAGGTAGCTCATTACGGATCTCACCGGTGGATATCGATGTTATGGCTTTCCAACATTTCCTAGGATTATTCAGGTTTTCTGTGGTTACTGACAAATAGTACTTCGAAGTTGCCCTAACGCTGGGACCCTGAACTACGTAATGTCACTCAAAGAGACACGTTCCGTCCAGGGCAAATACCCCAAAGACTTTCAAAAAGTGACCTAAACATTTAAAAAGAGATGCAGTAACATAGCAACCTATTACGACTTTGAAAACTACCATGAAGACACAAGTACAAAAATACCAGTAAGAGACACAAAATCAGTACAAAAAGGTAAAATAAAAAGAGTACCCAAAACCCCAAAATTACTAGAAAGGTATACAAAACAAGTACTAACAGCCACAAACGACAACAGAGGCACAACATGACTTCAAAAAGAAACAAACCAACTGTAAAGATACAAATAATGACTAAGAACAGATACAAAAGAGATGCACACACTAACCACAGATATAAAATAACTAAAAGACTAGAAAGATTGAAACAACTACAAAGACACTAAATGACTGCAAAGAGACACACAAGGACTACTAAAGTCTATAATAACTATACATTTCATCACGTCTTTGGCCTTTTAACTTATATGAGTCATGTATACATTTTGCGCTCCTTTGAAATTGTATTCACAGCCGCTGTGTTTCTTCTGTGTTTCTGTGCGGCACGTGTAGATACTCCACGCGCATACAAACCGGAGCATGAACTTTAACCAACCCTACAGCGTTTGTGATTGGTGATTCATCACCAGCTCAGCTCATCCTAATGAAGCCCGACACTGATTACAAGCCCCCCTTCAAAGAGAAAACACCGGCCCTTCTAACCCAATTTCCTCACTCACGTTGTCAAGCAGCGACTACAAAGCTGCTCGCACTCCTCTCCGGCGAGCCTGTTGTTAATATTTGATGGGATGCACTACATCTTACAAATAAAACACACGCTGTCATTGTTTGTGCTGATGTGGGAACTCTTTAAGATTACGGTAGAGGTGTGATGGCTGATTTAGAAGGTGGCAGATGCAGTTAAGTAAGACATTTGGGGCGATATAAAAATGTGATTCATGCATAATATGAACAGTAAAACGAAGAGGGTTGTAAGAGGAGTGGAGCGTGATTAAAAATGGTGTCAGTGTGCTTGAATAAGAAAGTTATAGCACTGGGATTTTTACTGATAATGTAAATTTGATTTGAATACAACAGGGCTGGATAAGGGACTGACAGAGAGAGAGGGGGGGAGACTAATAGGGTAATTAAATGGGTGACAGATAGACTTGGCTCAGGAATATAGGTTATAAGCACTTTATTGAGGCATTCAGGAAATTGTTAGATGATGATGAGAGAAGGAGAGCCAAAGATAGAGAAGTGAGGGAGTCCACTGTACTTAACAGAGACATTTGGGTCAATTTTATTTCCACTGCTATAATTAAACATGTTTGATTCCAAATGTATTGACATACTGAGAGCTTTCAAATTGAGCTGATACTTCAAGTTCAAGACTTTAACCCCAGTGAGACATATACCAAGTAACATGGATGACAGCAGACAGCTTTTATGGCAAATCAGATGCAACAGGATACAGTTAGACGCAATAAATATGAAAAACAGGACAGCATGACACATTCATTTGTGACGTGAGATTTAAGCACTTCACCATATTAATTTGTAAATAGATTCGAAGATACATGAGTTTCTGACTGCCGCAAGCTGAAGCTTGGTTGCTAGGTTACTAGCTGGGTGTTCTCCAATAAGGGGCCGGGGGAAACAAAGTTAGTGATTACTGGTTCCATGTTGATTTAATTCAATACAAATTGTTGGGGGGAACTGAAAGGCTATTACCGTACTGGTTACTTTGCAGCCCGGACATTTTCCCCAAAACACATTTAGACGATATCGCAACACAGAAGTACCTTTCAAATCCGATAATTTTTAAGACCTTCTAAATCATATTTAAGACCTTTTTAAGGCCTTACATTCAGATTATCAAATGTAAGTCTTTTTAAGACCCGGCGGGAACCCTGAGGAGACTAAATACGAACATTATATGCAGACACAGACGTGGTTCAGAAACACAGAAATATTAGAAAAGAGACCATTAAGGCAAAAACATCTAGTTTGATGGATGCTGTCAAAACTCAACTACCATAATGTGTGTGTGTGTGTGTGTGTGTGTGTGTGTGTGTGTGTGTGTGTGTGTGTGTGTGTGTGTGTGTGTGTGTGTGAG